TGTGGTATCTCGCCACCACGCCAGATCGTCTCAGACGAGGAAAGCTCGGTTGCCTACTCGGCGGGCCGGACAGACCGCCCCGAGCGTAAAAGTCTTTTATACAGGACGCCAAAAAGAGGCATGGGGGTGGAAATGGATCTAGCCACCAGAGAGGCAAACCACCTCCTTCAGAAAGGCAAGGACGCATTGGAGACCGCGGGTAACATGAAGAGGGAGTGCAAGGCCACTACGCACGAATGCTTACAAGGCCTGTACGAGACGGTCCTCTCTCTGGCGGACTCCAGAGCGCGCCACAAGTACAACCTCGAGAAGGAGCGCTCTCGACATGCACAGGAACTCGGTCGAGTCGAAATGGCTCATTCACGAGAAGTGATGGCCCTAAAAGCCGAGCTGTCCATTGTGCGCACGGACGTCCTTGAAACAAAAAAAGAGGCAAAGGGAATCAGGGAGTGGCTCGGACACGAGACACAAGGGCATCAAAGAACTAAAAAAGAAATCCGGACTGTGAACATGAGGAACATCTCGGAGCACGAGAAAACAAGGCAGACGGAACAACCAGGGACCAAAACACACGAATCTCTGGGGGAAGGACTGTCGCGTCTCGACATACACATGGCCAGCATAAGCAACCAGCTGGACGTGCTCCGAATGGCTCATCAAAAATTGAGCACAGATCTCTCACAGCCAAAACCGGACTCCGGTGCCTCAATGCGGGAGATGGACGAGCTTATCACCAGAAAACTGGGGGAGGAAATGTCAAAAATGAAGGACCTGCTGCAAGAAATTAAAAACAAGCCGGTTGAGGTCTCCCCCAGATCCAACCTTTATAAATTGAAAGATCCATAGAACGACACACACTACCACTGGCAGAAAGGCTGGAAATCGTATCGGCGGAGATACGCGTACTACGTGATAGGGACCCGCCAATCGTAGTCCCGACGGCGCCCAGTCTGGATGCGGAGATGGCGGTCGTCGAAGTCAAGAGGGCACTCGCAAAGATCGAAAAAGGGGTGGCAGGCCTGGGCAAACCAGATCGGCCACCACAGCAAAAACAAAGCCTGAAAACTTTTGCCCAGGTCGCCAGCACGCCAAAGCCCCCGAATCAGACGAAAGGTCCGAACCACACCCTGATCATTTCCTCGACAGACCCCCAGCACACCGGGGACAACGTAATAGAGAGGATCAGGGAAGCCCTGGACTTGAAAACGACGGGAGCCAGGGTGCACGCAGTGCGCAAGGCACGAAAAGCTCACTCACTTTAAAAAGTATTCAGTACAACACAGACACATACTAATGTAGTAATGCAAAGTTTAAATAACTTCCGCCATATCTCCATTCTGTTCGTCGCTACTATAGTGTAAGCTCTTCGGAGTACAATTTAATACCACGAAACAATGATCGAGGCAGGAGAATGTTGACAATAACCGATAACATTGTAAAAATGTTCCCAGCCAAGTGTTGAAATATTTAGATAAATCAACACTCAGTGTCGGCTTCTACAATCGTCAAATTATCAGGACAAAAACAGTCAAAAGAAAAAGCCATTTCAAAGAGAAATGTATTTAAATAATTATCACAAAAAAATCATCAAACAATAGAAGCTCAATGACCATGCTCAGTACATTTTGTGTAGACTTCACAGATACATGCGGGAGTGAAGTATACCTACTCGTACTCCAGAACAATAGTCTATCGCGTGTTAATAACTTGTGGCATTATTAGAGTTTTCTGTAATTTGTTCCACAATATTTAAATAACACGTTCATTTTAATAGGACTTGTTTTCCTAAGTGTACATATTAAGTACTTAGTCACATGTGTTAGTTACATGAACTTTTCATACCATCGAGGACAATATGTGTAGCGAGCCGAAATATGAGTTTGTCACTTCTGAAGTAGGTGCTTACATCTCCGAAATCTCAGAACATGGGAACCAATTTACAAACCGTCTACAGATTATCCCCAAAATTAGAAACAATGGTGTAATCACATTTGCTACGAGTAATATCACTAAGTACTGCAAGGACAATATTTGCTGCTGTAGATGAAGAGGTCAAAGAACGGGTTGCAAGGGACAAGTAAAGACGAACTTCGTTTTAAAAATAGTGGGTAAAGGGTAAGCATGGTAACTAGCAGGCGGTGTGCTCATGAATTCGGTCCTAACGGAGTGTGACTATCAAAGACGTCATTTTCTGTCAAAACATTTCACTTGTAAGACCTCCGAGTCGGCTCTGGGATTAGTTCTGTCTCCACCCCATACTACTCAATGACTTAGTTACGATAAGCTACAGTCGCCAGTGGCGGTATCTTATGGCGACTACCAACCAAGAGGACGTGTCGTAGCCGCGTAGCGCGTAGGCAGGACAGTATCTCGTAGTCATCTGCTACGACTTAACGCTCGCCGTAGAGCCACAGTACCTACTACGTACAGACGCAGCTAAAAGCAGCTCATTGGGAGTTATATTGTAAACTAGCTGTTGCCCGCGACTTCGTCCGCGTAGATTAATGACTTCTGACAGAATTAACCAGAATCAATTCAGTGCCCAAGTAAGATTTACCTATTTTGAAATGATTTATCGTAGTTTCAATAAATAAATAATCCCGCAGGGATCTTACCAGTACAGTGCCCGATCACGTAAGGTTTGAGTAATAAAAACTATTCTATCGACTATTGTTGTACCGAATCTCTCTAGAATAAGTTCAGTGGTTAAGAGTAAGAGAGTCCTGGGGCATTGACGCATAGTTCCCGTTCTCGTGAGACATCTGTGAAAAAACTATCAAACGTTACCCAGGTCCTAAATCATCGTTTTACCGAATGTGATTCAAAAAGATTCAATGATTCTAAATTCAACGGCTAAGAAGATTTATACAAACTCTCATTCCCTATTTTATCCCCTTAGGGGTGGAATTTATCAAAATCCTTTCTAAAGAGATACCTATGTCATAGTAACTTTATGCATGCAAAGTCTCAGCCCGATCAATTTAAAACTGGCAAAGTATCATACAAACTTTCACCCCCTATTTTACCCACTTTGGGGTGAGAATGTTCAAAAACCTTTCTAAAGGGACGTTTACGTCATAATATCCATCTGCCCGCCGAATTTCAACCCGATCGGTGTAAAACTGACAATGTCTCATACAAACTTTCATTCCCTATTTTACTCCCTTGGGGGTGGAAATTATCAAAATCCTTTCAAAGCGGATGCTTACGTCATAACATCTATCTGCATGCCAAATTTGAACCCGATCGATTTAAAACTGACAATGTCTCATACAAACTTTCATCCCCTATTTTACCCCCTTGGGGGTGGAAATTATCAAAATCCTTTCAAAGCGGATGCTTACATCATAACATCTATCTGCATGCCAAATTTCAACCCGATCGGTTTAAAACTGACAAAGTCTCATACAAACTTTCATCCCCTATTTTACCCCCATTGTGGGTGGAAATTATCAAAATCCTTTCACATCGAATGCTTACGTCATAACATCTATCTGCATGCCAAATTACAACCCGATCGGTTTAAAACTGACAAAGTCTCATACAAACTTTCATCCCCTATTTTACCCCCTTGGGGGTGGAAATTACCAAAATCCTTTCACAGCGGATGCTTACGTCATAACATCTATCTGCATGCCAAATTTCAACCCGATCAGTGAAAAACTGACTAAGTTTCATACAAACTTTCATCCCCTTTTTTACCCCCTTGGGGGTGGAAATTATCAAAATCCTTTCTTAGCGGATGCCTACGTCATAACATCTATCTGTATGCCAAATTTTAGCCCAATCTGTCCAGCGGTTTGGGCTGTGCGTTGATAGATCACTATGTCAGTCAGTCAGTCAGTCAATCACCTTTGAATTTTATATATATAGATACAGCTCTTTATAAATACATTTTTATATCAAAGTTAGTCGTCGAAAAATTCTGAGGAGTAGTTCGCAGCGACGACAAAGTTAATAACATAACATAACATCACGCCTTTTATCCTCAAAGGGGTAGGCAGAGGTGCACATTATACCACTGTACAATGTAACACCCACTTTTCACTATTTATGTTATGAGTCCCATGTAATAGGGAGTGAGCCTATTGCCATATACCGGGCACAGTTCCAGACTCCGTGCTACTACTGTGACAAAGTTAATGTGGATAAAAAATAGTATTTTAATATCACCGGCGCGGCGTACTACTAAGGGATTGTGATAAAAAACACAAATAATAAATGACTTCGGGCCTCTAACTTGAATAATAATAATTATTGATTGCATTCTAACTTTAGAGGCTCGGAACGAAGACATAACAATGTTCGTACATTACCGTAACTGACACTTCTTGCTATTTACACCGAGAGCAGTGACGCGTGTTTTGTAAAAACTTGAAAGAACATTGTTTTGTGTACCATTGAGACTAAATAACTGAAACTCAATTCAAAACCAGTATTCGTTTTGAAGAAGTCAAGAGTGAGAGAGAGAGAGTGAGGAAGAGAGAAAGAGAGCGGGTGAATGGTCATTATGTAGGTATTTAACAGAAATAAAACTGAATAATGACACGTTTGAACGTGACGACTTCATTGATGACTTGTTGTTATAACAGTGCTTCATTAGTTTTACCCCTGGTTTGGGTTAATTGTGTTGTCAAGGTTTTTATTGAAATTGAAACAACAAATTAAATCTTTTATATTCATTCAGTTTATTTGCAATTCATTAGGTACATACATATAAAAATATCACAAAATATCACAGATTTGAATAACTCGTTCGTTGAGTATTTAGATGAAGAATACATAATTCCCTCCTCCCGCGGTGTCGCGAGACTCGACTAAGGGAACATAATTATGTACAACAGCGGCCGGGAAGCAGCGATCTCTGATGACTCGATCTTTGCAAACTGCGAAATCTCTAACACGCCTGCCAAGCGTGCTCGTGTGGAGGAAGCACAAAGGCCAGCAGTGTAGTAGTATGCCGTCATGGCCACGAAGCCTTTCCCTATACATTTTTTTTTCTATCTCAACTTTTTTTCTGCCAGAGCTAAAATCTGTAACAAAAAATAGTATAAATATCTAATAACAACAAAAGAGTAAACAATCGTAAGAAACTTTTGGGAACATACCTAGAAGTGCAAGAAGCAATATTAGAATAAATCACAGCACAATATAAATACATATACCAAGCTGAAGGTGGTGTGACATCTTACTTGGTCGGGTCTGGAGTTCCTCGGTAGGAACATTTCAATATTAGACGATATCGTCCGCGCCACTCGCATCAGCTCTGACGCCGGTCTTGGCTCCAGCATTAATTCTATGTCATATTTCGCATTCTGTAAACAATCCAATAAAATAAATTAAGCATACAACTAAGAAGACTATCAGAATAAAACTTTAAAGTCCACTTACTTTTGAATACGACGGGCCTCCCCATGGCGGACTCAGGAAGACCATATCCGCGCTGAGTTGTGGTGCCAACTGGAAGAAGTCGCCGACAATAAAATCTAATTTATTTTTCGCTTCTATATTTATTGCGATGGTTGTTGAACATAATCAGGCATTAGATAACAACACAATAACAAAACCTAACACTAAAGCAACTACAGTTCTCTAGTGGAAAACAGTAGATATCGGAGACAAGTGTTACCTACCCCGATTACATGTCATTGCAAATTGTATCGTATTGCCGCCAGCCCCGCAGAACGCGTCCAAGACAACGTTGTAACGATACTTTTGAGCGATGTGCGCTGCCACGCTCTCCGGGGTTCGGTCAACCAGCTCTCGCAGTTCAACTTGACCCCTTCCAGCGGTGAACTATTAACTTCTAAAATCAATTGATTTTAGAAGTAGTATGCCGTTATGGCCACGAGGCCTTTCCCTATATAGTTATTTTCAACCTCAACTTTTTTTTCAGCCAGAGCTAAAATCTGTAACAAAAAATTGTATAAATATCTAATAACAGCAAAAGAGTAAACAATCGTAAAAAAGTTTTAGGAACATACCAAGAAGCAATATGAGAATAAATCAGAGCACAATATATCTACTACACTAAGCTAAATGTGGTGCGATATCTTACTTGGTCGGGTCTAGAGTTCCTCGGTAGGAACATCTCAACATTGGACGATATAGTCCGCGCCACTCGCATCAGCTCTGACGCCGGTCTTGGTTCCAGCATTAATTCAATGTCGTATTCTGCATTCTGTAACAGATTATTCAAATAAATTAAGTATACAGCCAAGAAAACCAAAATTTGGAAACACATCTTCTAGAAGGAGGCTCGTAGACGTATACAGCATGGTTGGGCAGCGTGTAGAAAAGTTTTCGGGAAGTCGGCAACGAGTGCATTTTACCATGCAGTTGAGACATACACTGGCAGGGCGACTGAACAACCAATTTAAAATCGCGCAGTGAGTTTAAGAGATCTCCGATATGAGGTGATCTGACGAGAAAACTATGTCTAGACAAATGTACTGTAGGGCAGGGCTGAAGATGAGAATAAAACTTTAAAGTCCACTTACTTTTGAATACGACGGGCCTCCCCATGGCGGACTCAGGAAGACCATATCCGCGCTGAGTTGCGGTGCCAACTGGAAGAAGTCGCCGACAACGAACTCTATTTTGTCTGCGACGCCATATACTTTGGCATTGTGTTTGGCCATCCGAATCTTGTTCGGGTCAATATCTATTGCGATGACTGTTGAACATAATCAGACATTAGATAACAACACAATAGCAAAAAATAACACGCATCTACTGGTTTCTAGTGGAAAACAGTAGGTGTTGAAGAGAAGTGTTACCTACCCCGATTACAGGTCTTCGCAAACTGTATAGTATTGCCGCCAGCACCGCAGAATGCGTCTATGACAACGTCATATTTATATTTTTGAGCGATGTGCGCTGCCACACTCTCCGGGGTTACGCTGAACCAGCTCTCGCGGTCCAACTTGACTCCTTCGTCGAATCTGTAGACAAGGAAACGAATCGTTACTCTTCTGTTACAAGACAAAGTCTCAATTGAAACTAACTTGAATTTATAATATGGAAATAAACAACCCACCTGTGGAAGAGAGTGTGCCTCTTCCGCCAATATTTGTGGAGGACGGGGTCCTCCTCCAGCTCGGCAGGCATACGGGCCTCTGTTCTCCAATTCTGCAGACTATATTTTCTATACGAATTCATGTTGCTCGCTTCGCGTCCCAATGTCGACTGAGGAACGCAGTGAGCCATGCCCCTGCGCATTCCTAGTACACGAAGGGTGTATGGGGTGTGGGGGTGTGGCTAGCGCAGGTAACAAGCAATCGTCCAACGACCAAGCAGAGAAAGAAAGAGACAGACGCAATCGTGTTCCTAACTAATGATCATTTATCTCTTAAATTATTTCGTTACCTAACGATTATGATTTTCATTTCAATAGAAATTAATTAGCCACGCCAGTACACAGTTAAACGAAGTTTTAGAATTGTTAGTTCGTTGACTCGTTGTCTTTTTTTATTATACCTATCTTAGTTGTATTCCATGGAGCACATCTACTTACACATATCGTCTGAAATGATTAGTTATCCTTCCATTATTTGACTCACAGCTCTTATTTATAAATCTTAGCGTATAATTGCTACAATAGTACCTCGGTAATGATACGGGCGACAGAGACATAAGTAATTCGTAGTCCGGTATAAACAAATGATGTACATACATTTACTAGATGTCGTGGTGGCCCGGAGGCTTAAGACGCCCTCTTCCCATGCATGAGGATGCGGGTTCGAAACCTACCAACGGCAAGTACCAATGTGACTTTTTCCGAGTTATATGTACCTACTTTCTAGGATCTAGACACCTGTTCACACCACTGATAAACAGTGAAGTGAGCTTATAATTTCTAATTATAAGTTTGTAATCGCCAACCCGCATTGAGCAAGCGTGGTGATTAATCCTCAAACCCTCTCCGTGTGAGAAGAGGTTTTGCTCAGCAGTAGGCACTTAAAGGCTATTGATGATGACATATTTACTACATACCTTCTTTGCGGTTATGTGTAGTGCACGAGCCGTTGTCGAGGGTCAGCTCAACCAACTGACAACGCTTCATTTTTATATGTATGTTTGTTAGTAGATAAAAAGATACAATTTTCCTAAGCCTAAGATACAGCGAAAGTTTTAATAACTGTATCTACAATTAATAGGTATATTTTGTAAGAAGAAATCAGTTGAAAAATAAGAAACTTCTGAGGAACCACGATCTTAGTTCTGCGTTAGCATTTGTTAATGTCGCCATTAGTCTATCGAGGACTTTCTCAATTGACATTTAATCCACATCAATATCGTAATGACTCTTGTTCTAATCTCATGACTTAATGACAGTTCATTAACTATATCTAATTGCCAATAATTGAGTAAGTAGGTAATATCAATAGATTCCATAATTTACCATCTGCTGAACATGTATCGACATCGAAAGTTAGATAGAACAAAACCTTTTCATTACATTCAATGTCTGACAAAGTTTCTGTTAGTCCAACATTTCACATATTTCAGTAAATGACAATGAAGGAGACTGTTACTTGTATACTGCGAAGCTGCTGCACTGTAAGAGGTCGTGTACGCATCGCTATATAGCATAGCTTATCAAAGCCGAGCCGCGATATCGTCACATCCATGCGCCCGCGGCTTTATATTATTGCTCACTTTAAAAAATATTCTACAGGTTATCCCCAAAATTAGAAACAATGGTGTTACCACATTTGCGATGAGTAATATCGCTAGGTACCAAATGCTTGAACAATTATATTGCTGTAGATGAGGTCAAAGAACGGGTTGCAAGGGACAAGTAAAGACGAACCTCATTTTAAAAATAGTGGGTAAAGGGTAAGCATCGTACTAGAAGGCGGTGTGCTCATGAATTCGGTCCTAACGGAGTGTGACTATCAAAGACTTCATTTTCTGTCAAAACATTTCACTTGTAAGACCTCCAAGTCGGCTCTGGGATTAGTTCTATCTCCACCCCATACTACTCAATGACTTAGTTACGATAAGCTACGGTCGCCAGTGGCGGTATTTTATGGCGACTACCAACCAAGTGGACCTGTCGTAGCCGCGTAGCGCGTAGGCAGCACAGTATCTCGTAGTCATCTGCTACGACTTAACGCCCGGCGTCAGTACCTACTACGTACCGACGCAGCTGACAGCAGCTCGTTGGGAGTTATATTGTAAATACAGCTCTTTATAAATACATTTTTATATCAAAGTTAGTCGTTGAAAAATTCTGAAGAGTAGTTCACAGCGACAAAGTAAGAGTGAATTAACAATAGTATTTTAATATCACCGGCGCGGCGTAGTACTAAGGGATTGTGATAAAAAACACAAATAATAAATGACTTCGGGCCTCTAACTTGAATAATAATTATTATTGATTGCATTCTAACTTTAGAGGCTCGGAACGAAGACAACAATGTTCGTACATTACCGTAACTGACACTTCTTGCTATTTACACCGAGCAGTGACGCGTGTTTTGTAAAAACTTGAAAGAACATTGTTTTGTGTACCATTGAGACTAAATAACTGAAACTCAAATTCAACACCAGTATTCGTTTTGAAGAAGTTAAGAGAGAGAGAGAGAGAGAGAGAGAGAGAGAGAGAGAGAGAGAGAGAGAGAGAGAGAGAGAGAGAGAGAGAGAGAGAGAGAGAGAGAGAGAGAGAGAGAGAGCGAGCGAGCGAGAGAGAAAGACAGCGGGCGAATAGTCATTAAGTAGGTATTTAGCAGAAATAAAACTGAATAATGGCACGTTTGAACGTGACGTCTTACGTTCATTGATGATTTGTTGTTATAACAGTGCTTCATTATTTTTACCTATTGTTTTGGGTTAATTGTGTTGTCAAGGTTTTTATTGAAATTGAAACAACAAATTAAATCTTTTATAATCATTCAGTTTATTTACCATTCATTAGGTACTTATAAAAATATCACAAAATATCACAGATTGAGAATAACTCGTTCGTTGAGTATTTAGAAGAAGAATACATAATTCCCTCCTCCCGCGGTGTCGCGAGACTCGACTAAGGGAACATAATTATGTACAACAGCGGCCGGGATGCAGCGATCTCTGATGACTCGATCTTTGCAAACTGCGAAATCTTTAACACGCCTGCCAAGCGTGCTTGTGTGGAGGAAGTACAAAGGCCATCAGTGAAGTAGTACGCCGTCATGGCCACGAAGCCTTTCCCTATACATTTTTTTTTCTATCTAAATTTTTTTTTCTCCCAGAGCTAAAATCTGTAACAAAAAATAATATAAATATCTAATAACAACAAAAGAGTAAACAATCGTAAGAAACTTTTGGGAACACACCTAGAAGCAATATTAGAATAAATCACAGCACAATATAAATACATATACTAAGCTGAAGGTGGTGTAACATCTTACTTGGTCGGGTCTGGAGTTCCTCGGTAAGAACATTTCAATATTGGACGATATCGTCCGCGCCACTCGCATCAGCTCTGACGCCAGTCTTGGCTCCAGCATTAATTCTATGTCATATTTCGCATTCTGTAAACAAACCAATAAAATAAATTAAGCGGAACTTTTCAGGAAGGGGCAACGAGTGCGTTTTATTATACAGCTGAGAGATACACTGGCAGGGTGACTGATCCACCAATTTAAAATCGTGCAGTAAGTTTTAGAGATCTCCGAAATAAAAGAGAAAATTACGTCTAGGCAAATGTATTGTACGGAGCCGCGGAAGACTTAACGGGTTGCCAGGAGTCCGGCTCGAAGTGCAGGAGTAGGAACGGGGTAGTTTTTAGTCAGTAAGATTCTGAGACTCCTTCTCGCCTCACCCGGGCGGGAGAAGTAAATGGATGATTTTCCCCCTCAAAAAAAAGGGAAATGTATTGTAGACAGGTCTGAAGATCAGAATAAAATTTTAAAGGCCACTTACTTTTTCATACGACGGGCCTCCCCATGGCGGACTCAGGAAGACCATATCCGCGCTGAGTTGCGGTGCCAACTGAAAGAAGTCGCCGACAATAAAATCTAATTTATTTTTCGCTTCTATATTAATTGCGATGATTGTTGAACAAAATCAGGCATTAGATAACAACACAATAACAAAACCTAACACTTAAGCAACTACAGTTCTCTAGTGGAAAACAGTGGGTATCGAAGACAAGTGTTACCTACCCAGATTACAGGACATTCAAATTGTATCGTATTGCCGCCAGCCCCGCAGAACGCGTCCAAGACAACGTTGTAACGATACTTTTGAGCGATGTGCGCTGCCTGCCACGCTCTCCGGGGTTCGGTCAACCAGCTCTCGCAGTTCAACTTGACCCCTTCCAGCGGTGAACTATTAACTTCTAAAATCAATTGATTTTAGAAGTAGTATGCCGTTATGGCCACGAGGCCTTTCCCTATATAGTTCTTTTCAACCTCAACTTTTTTTTCAGCCAGAGCTAAAATCTGTAACAAAAAATTGTATAAATATCTAATAACAGCAAAAGAGTAAACAATCGTAAAAAAGTTTTAGGAACATACCTAGAAGCAATATGAGAATAAATCAGAGCACAATATATCTACTACACTAAGCTAAATGTGGTGCGATATCTTACTTGGTCGGGTCTAGAGTTCCTCGGTAGGAACATCTCAACATTGGACGATATCGTCCGCGCCACTCGCATCAGCTCTGACGCCGGTCTTGGCTCCAGCATTATCTCAATGTCATATTCTGCATTCTGTAAACAGATTAATCAAATAAATTAAGTATACAGCTAAGAAGACCTTAAGTTGGATACACATCTTCTAGAAGGAGGCTCGTAGACGTATACAGCTTGGTTGGGCAGCGTGTAGAAAACTTTTCAGGAAGGCGTCAACGAGTGCGTTTTACTATACAGCTGAGACATACACTGGCAGGGTGACTGATCCACCAATTTAAAATCGTGCAGTAAGTTTCAGAGATCTCCGATATGAAGTGATCTGACGAGAAAATTATGTCTTAGACAAATGTATTGTGGGGCAGGGCTGAAACTTTAAAGTCCACTTACTTTTGAATACGACGGGCCTCCCCATGGCGGACTCAGGAAGACCATATCCGCGCTGAGTTGCGGTGCCAACTGGAAGAAGTCGCCGACAACGAACTCTATTTTATCTGCGACGCCATATACTTTGGCATTGTGTTTGGCCATCCGAATCTTATTCGGGTCAATATCTATTGCGATGACTGTTGAACATAATCAGACATTAGATAACAACACGATAGCAAAAAAGAACACTTTTGGAAAACAGTAGGTGTTGAAGAGAAGTGTTACCTACCCCGATTACAGGTCTTCGCAAACTGTATAGTATTGCCGCTAGCCCTGCAGAACGCGTCCAAGACAACGTTGTTACGATACTTTTGAGCGATATGCACTGTCATGCTCTCCGGCTCTCGCGATCCAACTTGACCCCTTCGTCGAATCTGCGAAGGAAACGAAACGTTACACTTCTGTTATAAGAAAAGTCTCAGTTGAAAATAACTTGATTTTTTTAATTATATAAGTTTTCTTTAATGTCTTAAACTGTCAAACACCGCGAGGACACCGGTGACCACAATCCATTGTTCTTTAATTGTGTCTATAATGACGGTACTCAAAGAGTTAAACCACAAGACTATGAGTAAGCAATAAAAAAAGTAAAGGGTATTTGAATGGCGGTATTTGAAGAAAAAATTTCTTAATACTAAATCCAGCTAAAACCAAATTTATGATCTTTTGCACCCCAGGCCTATTAGATAAAACTTCACTGAGAACAAACTTCCGTAACAATTTATGTAAAGGGTGAAAATGTAGATCGAGTAAGTACCTAAGTGAGGCGAGGAACCTGGGCCGTGGGATGGTCTAAGGTTTGAACGTTTCATTACGGACTGTGTAAGAAATTGCTTCTATCGTTTGAAAATCTTATATAAAATACGACCCTACTTGTGCGATTTTGCAAAAATGTCCACCATGGAGTCATAATCATACTACGCCTTTCTTAAACAAAATAATGTTTTAAAAATGAAATTGCGTTGTAAACTCCACCTCGCCTGTCTTATGTTCGACTATATAAAACACAAGTG